TTTATATTTATATCATCTATACGATATTCGAATGTTTGTTTTTAGATGTTTCACCTAGCTATCTTCCAAATATCGGCTTTTTATATTAAAAAATTTCGACCAGTATTGCTAACCCAAATTTTTCAAAAACTTGAATTTTTTTAAGCAAAAATAATGATATTTATTTTAATTATTTTAGTGAATTTTATTTAAAAAAAAATCAATAGTTATTTAAACAAAAATTATTTCGGAAAAATAGTATAATATCTGAAATATTACCTTTATGTAATCTGATTAGTTGAATCTAATATAGTTGTGTATATAAAATTTTAATTTATTTAACACATTATTATTTGAAGATGCTAAAATTTAAACTTATTTGTTTAAAGTTAAATTAGAAGCTAGAGTTAGAGTTCATAATAAAAGGTTATAAGAGTAAATATAGATTTTAATAGAATTCATATTTTCAAATCAAGACACCAAATTTCAGCATCATCTATTTTAGTATTATCATTGTTTATTATCACATTAATATAGTTAAATAATCTCTAAATATTGTTAACTATTTTAAACATAAAAAGTTCTAATTTTCATCATTCATATTAAAATCTAATGGCTCTATCTTGGTAATTATATTTATGTAAAATTGTATTTGGCTATCAATAATTTATAATAATACCTAATACTAAAGAAGATCTGGAAAAATAATATGCAATAATTTTTTTTCATATTTAAGAATAATTAAATTATTCTTTATTTTGGTTTAAACAAATGCTAAAATTGCAAGATTGTCAAATATTATTACTTAATATATGATTATTTGCAGAGAATGTATGGAGTGAACAAATATTTCCAGATCTTTTTTTTAAATATTATTAGCTACACTATTCTAAAAATCATATTTCTGTCCTATAATATACTTGTTTGATTAACAATAATGGGCTCTAAATGATTATTTTTTCTAACTAGACATCTTCAAGATTAAGAGTTTGTTTTAGCTCTTTAGCTTTGTTCCTAATTATAAATGTAGTAATAGCTTGTTTTTCCTCTCTTTTTTTTTGATATAATCCAATAACTCATTTTTCAATATAGGGTATTTGACCTTTTGGCTATGACCCTTGAGGGCTCATGTTTGATTTTTGTTTTTAATAATAGTTTTGAGCTGTTCTTTTTACTTTTTTCATTTCTGAACTTGTTTTTGATTAATATTATAAAATAATGCTTATGGTGGTAAGAGATGTCTTTCACATATGTAATCATCTCAAGATTAAATGCAATAGTATAGCTTCGATTTTTGTATTCTTAGTCCATATTTATTTGCAAGTGGTATAAGAGATTCATTTGTGTAATTAACAAATAAGTCACACTTATATGTCTGGAGGGGTTGGTGCTATGAAAGAAAAATGAACAAAGAAAAAATATCAGAACATTAATGCCCCAGATTAATGCAAGTAAGTCTAGCATTTTTTTTTACCTCAAAAAAAAAAAAAGAAAAAAAAATGGATATAGAGGATTCTATTTATACTGTAGTTTAAACAAAATGGTTTGATTTCAAATATATAATTCATACGGATAAAACTTTACAATTAATTTTTCATTAAATAAATATAAAATGTAAATGAAACCAGTGTTGTTAAATGTAAATTGGTGTCATAAAAAAACGGGTATGTTAGTAATGCATGAAGTTTGTGTAAACGGATTCTAGTTTATTTTGAATTTTTTTTTTTTTTTTTTTATTTGCTATTTTTTTTTTTTTATAAGCGACCTCCGGGTCTGAGAATTTTATTTTTTAGAATGGGTTTGGTACCAAAATACTTTAGCGTTTAGTGTTTCTAGAACGGATACAATTGAAGTTAAGTTCGTGGCCTTGCTTGAGTGAAAGTTGTTCAAAAGGCATGGATAGAAAGACAGAAGAATACAAGTGTGTATGTACGGTAGATCAATGATATACCTACAAAATCAATTACTGCTCCGGATGTTTGGTTTTATTTTTCTGAATTGCGAAGGGAAACATGTCTATTTATCAGTAATTTTTTTTATTTAATTAATATAAAAAAAAAGTATATATATATAGCAGATTTATGGCGTTAAGAAAAAGAGAACTTGTTCTATGCGCTTTGATATATTTGGCTACAACTTGTTATACTTGGTTATAAAGGAAAGCAAATTTTTAATTGTTGGGCTTTTTGATCTTAGTATGCAGTTCGTACGTACGTACATATGTACGCATGCATTAATGTTACAATTAGTCGTGAGAATATTATTCTATAAAATACCACCCATGGGCATTATTTTGAAAACCTATATTCAATAAAATAGCTTATTTAATCAAAATAACGCCCATGGGCGTACTCAAAATATCGCGCACGTAGTCAAAATAGCGCGCCCCTGCCCGCTATTTCGAGAATCTACGGTAAGAATCCGCTTTAGACATCTTCCGAAAAAGGAAATCCAACATTTTTTGATGATTATATGGGATCTTTTCTAGAAAAATGACCCTCCGAGGCTATATTAATTTTGTGAATAAAAATTAAATTTACCAACCATCTAGTCATCCAATTCAAATGATCTTTGTTTTATTTGTAAAGCTTATTTAGCTCCACAAAATAAAAGAAAGTTCATTCAAATTGGATAACTAGATGGTTGGCAAATTTAACTTTTATTCACAAAATCAACATGGCCTCGGAAGTTCATTTTCCTAGCAAAAATCCCATATAGTATATAAATCGAATTCAGATATTGACTTTAATAAAACAATTATTTTTAACTAAATATATTGTGATATATTATGCTAATTAGTTGGGTTTAAATTGGTCTCTGGACTAAAAACAAACTATTATATTTGATTTATATTAGTTATTCTTAAATTTATAAAAGATACATGTAACTTTCAAAGCGACATAGGTTAAGAATATTGACAATGTTAGAGAACAATTGGAAGCTAACAATAAATCAAATCAAATTCGAGGACTAATTTTAACTTTCAACTCTTCACAGTTTATGGTAAGTCCAGTTTTAATTTTTATAGGCTCATTCTTATTCACCAACTCAACGTTATAATTTTTAAATACTAATGCCATTAATAAGAGTAATTCAGTCATTGCCAATTTTCTACCAGGACAAATTCGTTGACTTCCACCAAACATCATCAAATTTTTGTCATTAAATTTTAGACTGTATTTATTATCATCATAAAACCTATCCGGGTCGAAAATTTCAGGATTAGTCCAAATTTTCGGATGTTTATTCGCCGCTATAAAATTCAAATGTAACTGAGTACCAGCGGGCCATTTATATCCAGAAAATTCTCGTTCTTCACCAATGTAGCGGGTTGTCATAAATGCTGTGGGAATTAGACGATTGGTTTCTTTAATTATTGCTTTACAATATTTTAGTTTTGAAATATCTTCTTGTGATACTGAGAATTTTTTGGATAACTTAGAAAATACAGAGTCAATTTCTAAAAGCATCTTTTGTTTTGCGTGTGGATGTTTACAAACATAATAAGTCATATAACAGAATAAATTTGAAGTCTAAATGCAATAATTATAATCTAATATTAATAAAAATAATAAATCCAAAACATATTCAAATTTAGAAACGATACTTACAGTATCTGTTCCGCCTAAAATGGCTTCTACCAAATTCGTTCTGATTTGTTTATCGTCCATAGGTTTAAGCATTTCATCATCTACTGTTTTTACTTTAATAGTATTTCTTGGGGTATTTGCGGTTATTAACGAAGTTAGCATGTCACTTTTCATTTCAGTATCCGTTGGTAATTCATCAATCATCTTTCTTCTATTTTTAACCATCATGTCAAATCTCTCAAATACGTAATCCCGATTTTTCAACATAGGAATTGTCATATTTCTGATTATTGGAACATAATGTCTCATGAACGGTCCAACAAACATATAAAACGCGATATCATTAATGAACTTTACAGCTGCATTAACAAATTTATTACCATCACTGACCAACGCACCAGCATGTTCAGATTTGATAATACTTTGAGTATTATAATAGGATGCGATTGCATATGTTCGTTCACCAGTTATTACTATTGAAACAAGATCATTTGCAAATCCATGAAGCCATGCTGAAAAATCTGTTTCTAGAGTCCAATTATTATTATCTTCTTTATTATTACTTAAGGTATTTTGCATTCCAAGAGATTGCCAATATCCACTTAATTCTTCAAATAATTGTTTTGTAGAATTTATGGCTGTATCCATTAATTTAGGTGTCAATAACGCCTGAGTAAAAAATTGCCTATGGTAATACCAACTTTTATAGTCATTATTAAAAACCATTCCACGTCCGTAAAATCCAAATTCTTCTATACCTTGCAAATATGGGATCTTCATAAAATACGTTGTAGGATATAAAAACTTTTCCATATAATCAGACCGTGAAATAATGATACATCTACACCCATTAAACATAATTTCACAAATATCACCATATTTCTGTTGACATTGTTCGTAAAAGAGTTTTATATCTACAATATTATGAAGATTTCCAATAAATGGTAAAGGTAATGGTCCAGGAAATGGATTAGGACGAGTCAAGTAATTGTAATAAAAAGTGAATATATAAGTAGTTAAAGTTAGGCCGAAAAGGATAAAAAATTCTGTAATTCCAAAGGAATCAATAATCTTTTGAATGATCATTTTACATGAATTGCAAAGTTTCAATAGTTTTAGAGAATGATCAAACTTTGATTTATCGTTATACCTGAATATCTAAGAACTTATTATCAAATTTCTGTATTTATACGTATTCACCCAGAATACTCCGGTATTCATTATATCTTTAGATACGGGCAAAGTAATTACTTCTTACATAAAAATTAAATCATATTATGTAACAATTTTGTACGATATTAGATGTATGCATTATCAAATGATTTTACGTAAAAAGTAATTCCGTAAATTGCCGGATAAAAGACCGAACGCGAATTACAGAATCTGCATCAATAAAATATAGCTTTTTTCAAATATCCAAACTGCCCGTCGGAAATGAAAAATACGCATGCTCTTTAAAATTCTCCTTTCAATGATATAAACTCAGGTTTATTATAAGTTTTAAAATCGGTGGAATGTAAGAAACCCGGGTCTTTTGCTGGCCATTTACAGAATTACCATGTCCATCTATATTTGGGTGACGCCAAGGGAAAACCCGACCCTAGGTTTTTAGGTATATTTTTATCGGACTAAACTCCTGATAAATTTGATTAGCTGAACGATCAGTAATAAACTTAAAAATCCAGAGTCGGGCTTCATTTATTTTGCCATATGTAGCGATAGTGAAAACTGGCAAAATGATTATTTAAGTTGCCTGATTGGAAAGAAAATTCTTATTTACAAGCAGATAGAAGATCTAAATAAAAATTTTTTTTGTAAAACTTTAATAAACCGGTTTAAATTAAATTCAATTTTATTTATTATGAAAATATATATTTTTAAATTGTTCCAACCTCAATTCCAAAGTATAGTTGATAAAAAATAAAATAAAATAAAATAATTAAAAACGAGTTGCAAGGTTTTTTTTAATTTTTGCATTATGCGGTCGATTCCTTCTAAGTGCATAACCTTCCTAAATGCAATGTGATTGGCTGGTCCCGTGTTGAGCTTATGATATAAACGCACACTCTTCATTTTATAAATGATATTTTAATGATCGGTGTTACATTAGCGTAAATCGGTCTTATACTTTTTTAGAAATGTTAGTATAGTGTTTCCAATAAGAATATCTATATTATCGTTATGCATTAATTACAAGTTTGGTCATTTAATAATTAGTCTCGTTGTCTAAATGGTAATTTCGTTCGGGTTGCAGTTAGTGTTATTGGAGGACAATTTGTTAAGAAAGGTTAGGCCATACAAAGCTGATTTTTGTTTTGCATTCGAAATTTCGGTCGGGCAGTTGGATTTTTATTAATCTAAACTAATAGACTGAATTTTCATGAAATCAAAGTCTTTTAATTTCTAAGGTTTTCTTGAAAAGGCATTTTATTTGTTCAGGCATTATGGCCATGATTCAAGTTTCTTTAATTACCTTTAATACCAGTTAAATCATAAAGCATTATAAAACTATGTGGAGTTTAAACTTATCGGTACTTACTATGTACAAGAGTGACTTATTAGCTACTGTATAATCCGTTATCTATTTTAAATTCTGAAATTAGTGTGTCTTAGTAATCGACTTACAAATCTGTATTTCTTCCGAAAATAATATAGTACAAAATTTCAATTTATCAAATGGGAATAGTAATGTTATTAATTTCTTAATTTGTTAATTTGTTGATTATTGATTTGTAATAACATTCAAAAGAAGATCCGAAAATAAATTTTCACTCTGCACCGCGTGATACCTTTGCATTCGTTTAAACCAAATTGAAGAATCATTTAGTTATCCTTAATTACCGAAAATTTTTGTTGCATATTATTTTTCTGGATCTTTTTTGTGACCACTGTAATATTAGGCATTTTTTTTATTATTGATGGCCTAGTGCAATCTTCATGTAAACGCGACTACACCAAAATTGAGCCATCAGATTTTAATGTGAACGTCATGAACAATTAGAATTTTCTTTTGTTTAAAACGGTTAACAATATGAAAATGTTATTTAACTGTGTTAATGATACTGAGATGGATGATACTGAAATTTGTAGATTTAGCCAAATTCCATCCCGAAATGTTTTTCTGAATTGGACTCGAGTAATTTTTGTATGTCATTATATTTTAATTAAATAGATATTAATTGTTTTTGATTAATATTCATTCAAATGATTAAAATAAATACTGTATTATTATTTCGTTTAAAATAAATTGTTTTTGTAAGGAAAATTTTAACTTTGTATGCTTCAATGATACTTGCAAATGTATATAAATGCTAGTTTCCCCGATGTTAGAGTAGAAGATGGATGCCCTTTGAACTCCTCCCATGATAAAGAGATTCTCAAAACTCGTCCTCGTTAATAAAATGCCTATCTAAATGCTAATTTATAATGAATACGTTAATCTTACAAGAATCTCGTCTCGAGTTTCATCCCGATTCTAAACGTCGCCCATAAAAATGTGACCCATCCTGACCTGAAATCTAATATAATACTAACCTCCCGACTGAGATAACACCAGATGTATCCAATCTATAAACAATATAATCACAATCTTTTTTATGACACAAATCAGTTTAATTTTGCTATCGCCATGTTGTTATAAATTTTTGTTTAATTACTGTAAATTTCTATATCAGTAGATCAACAGTATACTGGGTGTTATTTGAGTTTTGGCCCGAATTAAACCTAATTAGGCCAAAATTTCGTAATTTCCCATAGGTGCCTTTTCGAGAATTTACGGTAACAGTCCGTATGTGCGGATTTTTTCGATTCTGGTGATTATTAAAAATACGTAAATAATAATAATTAATAAAATTTGACCCAATAATTTATGTGATGCCGGTATTAAATATTCAAAATATAATAAAATTGAATGGAATTGTATAATTGGTTGTCTTCTGAGTTATAAATTACTTATGAACCATCATGAAACCGTTTATGAAAACACGATAAAATTAAACATTTTATTTGTATCCGATTGATTAATTATTTACTTACTTATTAATATTTTGATATAGTGACGCTGCGCAATATATTTTTAATATTCAGAGTGGTTACATAATTCTATTGTACCACTTAATTTTAATAATCACATTATTCCCATCAAAAATTTTCCCCAATATGCTGCCTAATTATGTGCAATTTTATTATTTTATTCAAAATGAAATTCTTACCAAATGAATGCCTTGTTGAAATATTTAGTAACCTTAAAAATTATTACAGATTCTTGTTTTAATGCCTTCTTGAAAACCGTCAATGATGCAGAAATATTATTGAACAAACCATTATTACATTTCTATGATAAAAAACTTGAGAATATACTTTTTATCATTGAATGAAAAAGAAAAGGCATCGCTAATTCAATTAGATGTATCATTTCAAAAGTGCCAAAACTATTATTTGAATTTACGTCTTATAATACATCTATCTATTGCAACAATTTAAAAAAAGGAATTATAAATTGGCTGGTGCGTATACGATTCCTTTGATTATTTTAAAAATATGAATTATCGAACGATCCAAAATTAAAATAGCTACCTATTTGTTAATGTTATTACTATTACGGAAAAGTGAAAAATTCATGCATCTAAATATTGATGAATTCAATAATATTAATGGAATTGTGAAAATATTAGCAAAAGCTCTTCTTAAGTATACTACTACCACCTTAAGACTTTCTGGAATTGAATTTAATTCAGAAGAAATAAAATTATTAGATATTCTTTGTATAAATGCTTTCCTAACCTTATTATGACTCCATTATTGTAATTTCTTTTACTAATCTTTATTTGCAGACAATTATCTACAGAAATGTGACATTTAATTTCTTTAGATCTTAGTTATGATAAATTCGGTTTTGAGAGTATAAAAGTGCTTGCAAATTTCTCCTTATAAAAATTTCTAAGCCTTTACAACAATAATTTGGTCTTGAATAAACAAAAAGCAATAGCAGAGGTGAATGCTGTTTTAAATTCTCTAAAATGAAATTGGTTTGGAAAGTGTAAAGGTGATAGCAGAAGCCCTTTGTAAAATATCGCTTTAACTTCTTTAAAGCTTAGTTCAAATAAACTTAACTTTAAAGAGAACAAGTCATTGGTAGAAGCTCTTTGTAAAAAACCAAGAGATTTAAACTTTCATAATAATTTGATTGGTACTGATGGAGTAGTAGATCTTTGTAAGAATGTTAATTTGACTCCTTTGAGTCTTAGCAACATTATAATTAGTTTTGATGATGTGAAAGCATTATCAGAAGCTCTTTATAAAAATGATACTTTTACTTTTTTAGAATATTATCGGTAATAAATATGCATTTCTTTGTGTATAGTGTAACCATTGATCGGTGAGAGCTACAAAAGATAATATGGATAAACGACCAATTTAACTCCAACGGTGTACGGGAAAATAATGAAAACCTTTTGTTGTATTAAATTGGTTATGATGATGAGCGATGCAATGACGATTAAGGGCGATGATACAGCGATGATCTTAAGGACGGTGATGATGATGTCGTGACTAAAGTTGGGATCCGACTAAAGTTGGAACTTCAGTTGAACTGAAGTTGCAGATGACTGAAATTAGCCCCTGAAATTAGATCATCCTGCACGCATTAGTTAGCTGTTTTAGGCAGGTGCCAACTTCAGTCAACTGAAGTTCCAACTTTAGTCGGATGCCAACTTCAGTCACGACAATGCTAGGACTTTAGGTTTGTTTATTCGTAGGTCATCATGTAATCATCCACGACATTTATTATTAATTAAAGTGGACAAGGACTGTCCTTTCGTTTATTAAATTCACAGTTCTTATATATATCTTGTTTTTCAAAGTCGTAGACACCGAAAATTTAACGTTTACACCTAAAATCCAACGTTTACATGACAATTTGGGTGTATGTATCTGTCGTGTTTGAAGTTAGCATCTACTTGAAGCTGTAACTTCAAGCACTTGACTTTAAATCTACCTAAATTGCTAACTAATGCATGCAGGAAGATCTAATATTAGGGGTTAATTCCAGTCGGGCTTAACTTCAAGCACTTGAAATTACAACTTCAACAGATGCCAACTTTAAATATGATATTTCCACCATAATATTAAAGTACACACCAAAAAGTCTTAAGGTGCAGTCTTTGTGTAATCACGTATACGTGAATTTTCGGTGTTTACATGATTCATTTAATTTTCATGTACCTAAGTCACTAAGCCACTTTCAATTTCTTTAATAGAACAAGAAATTTATTATCATTGGTATGGAGATTTTTTTTGTATATAACACCAAGTCTCGGATTCAAAATATAATATAGGTTCTTATATGCAATTTGCAACTTTAGAACTGATGTAGCAATAATATATCCCATAAGAATGGTGTCATTCTGAATATTCATATTAAATTAATGAATGGCATCAATCACTACATAAAAAAAACAATTCAATTTCATATATTTAAGTTTACCTTCTGTACAATTAACGGAATATATATGAAAAAAAGGTCATAAAGTCTATAAAGTTTGTGATTTCGATCGCGAGCGTTAATCATTGACATATTCGAAGAATATACATATATAGTGTACTGTACGGAAGGTAATTTAGTACTGTATTGTTCGGAATTTTGAAATGATACGATACAGTACGAATGTGCGTAGTATTAAAGTAATTTAGTACTGTATTGTAGATGTTTAGAGCCTTTTGTACTGAATTGTGTATATAATGCAAAATAAAGATATCGAGACAGTACATACATCATGTTGCGATAATGTTGCACAATCATAATTACTACGTATCACGATCATTTCATTTATCGTTATTGCATGAATTTTACTACGTATCACCGTATCACGATCATTTTCATTTATCGTTATTGCATGAATTTTCTTTTTTGTACAAATTTAGTTATTTATTCGTAGTACGTACATTTCTTTCTTGTACATACATACGACCTAATATCGTAAATGGCTTACCAAATTAGTGCAGGTCAACCTATGGCTATCGCTATTAGTTCTGACGATGAATCGGATTACCTGTTTGAAACAGGTCAACACGTTAATGATAACGAACAAAGTTTCGACGATGAACAAGGTGTTAGCGATGAACAAGGTTTCAATAATGAACAAAATTTCGATAACCAACAGGATCCTAGCAATGAACAAGATTCTGATGAATGGGATTCTGATCCTTCGGATGAAGATTTTCAAGACCCAGAAAATCCGTCTACGGTATAAATTTTAAAATTTTAGGATTAAGGATTAAATAATAATTTGATTTAAATAATATAGTGGAAGTTTAATGAACAATTCGTGACATTAAATTCTGAAGAATTTACAGAAGAAGTCGAAAAAATTGAGAAGGTACATTATATATGAGTGCGAGAAAGAGAAAATATACAATTTAAAAATAGATTATTATAAAATTCATAAAATCTATTTTTAGATTGTACATTTTCTCTTGCCCGCACAAATTTAATTGTAAAATATTAAAACATAAAATTTTAATACAGTATCTGTATAGTCTTTATTAATTAAATTAGGTAAAGCGAAGTCAGAAATCGTTAATAAAATTAAATATCGGCTTGAATTTGAAGAATATCCAGAAACATCCGAGAATGGAGTCGCTTGTGTATATAATGTTGCCGGCATGGATACTGAAAAAGCTCTTGAGATCTTTGATCTTAAGAATATTCAGTATGCATATAAGGATGGAACTACCCGTGAAAGTGTTTACTGTCCTTTTTTAAAAACTAAAGTTTACAAAGAAACAAGGACATGTCGTGGTATTAAAATATGCCAATTTGCAGCACCTGAACTAGTCGCAATGACACATACATCAGTAAATTTTGATGATCATTTTGTTTAAAAAAATATTTGAAGTAAATGAATTATCATTAGACTCGAATACTTTGAAGTAAATATATATTTATGATATTAAATTTATAATTATATTGTATT